GCGGGGAGGGCTCCGGGGGGAGAGCTGGGGGGGACGGGCCGACCCCCGCAGCCCGAGGCACTCTGAAGGTCTCAGCGCGGTCCCGGTGTGGGGCTGGGGTGGGTCCCAGCGGGGGGGGGACACCCCCCCGGGCAGGGAGAGGGCGCTTCGGGGCTGCAGCTGCTGCGGAAGGGGGTCTTTGGCGTTTGGGGGCCCGCGGAGGTGGAGGAGTCGGACCCCAAAGGGAGGTCCTGGCTCTGGGGAGCGGCCCTGCCCGCTCGGGGGGGGCAGCAGAGCCCCCGTCCCGGGCACGGCCGGGGCTCCTTCCTGCCCCCGGGAAGTCCCGGGACGGGCACGGGATGCTCCGGGGGCATCCTGGCTTTTGTGGGGTGCTGAGGGGTGGCTGAGGCTGCTCCAGGCTTTGGCATGTGGGGGTCCCCTTCCTGCTGGGGACGGCGGATTGCAGTGACCGGAGCAGCCGGGACGGGCTGACATTGGAAACAAGCTTCCTCTGTAGTTTTTTATTTTTAATTGTGTAGTTTATGACGTCCAGAGCTTGTGACTTTTGAGCAGGGCGCTGCAGCGATGCCAGGCTGTGACTGGGGTGACTCCGGTGCCGCTGATGTAAGAGCTGGGCCCGGGCCCGGGGCTCGTCCCGGGGGGGGAGAGGGGGCAGAGCCGGGGGGTGCCGGAGCTCCCGGGTGTGGGTGGGATCCCTGCAAACCCGGGTGAGCAGCCAGAGTGGGAATAGTCAGAGGATAACTCTAAGCTTGTGAAGCATTTTCTTTTTTTTAATTTCTTTTTTTTTCCCCCTCCTCAGCAGCCCGGGGCACTTTTTTTCCTCACACGCTTAGATCCAGACTATTACAATGGGTACTTGGCTCGGCCGTTCTGCCATCACCGCTGCCTCACCCCTCCTTCCCCCCTTCCCTCCCAAAAGACATTCTGGGTTGCCTGCTACTACTTTGTGCAGTGTTATCACGTGCAAGAGCTGCAGGGGAGCGCTGGGACTGCACCGTGCTCGGCTGCTTGTACCAAGAAAAATTAGCAGGTCATTCTGTACCAGGGATGCTCAAGGAGCCTTTCGGGTTTCCTTTTGCCGAGAGCAGAAGTTTCTGACTCCTGTGCTGTCTCTGCCCCCCCCGGCTCTGGCAGGACCCCCCAGCCCTGGGCTGGGTGAGCTCTGCAGGCGGCAGAGCCCCACAGCAGCAATCAGCTCCAGCCCCACTCATCAGGGCTGGGGGGGGGCTGTAGGGAGCCCCTGGCTCTGTGGTCCATCCCCTGGGCCCCATCCAGGCAGCGTGGGCAGATCCCTGTGGCTAATGGTGGGAATGTGGTGCTCGGAGCACCCCCACGCTGGGGAGCGAGCCGTGAGCTCCTCCTGGCCCTGGCTGGGGTTATGGACGCTGCAGCTGTGTGTGCGTGTGGCTCCAACCAGTACCACTGGGGCTGTAAATAATTAATTGCTTGCTGATGAAATTTCATGTTCAGAGTGGTTGTTGGGATGGAGGCAGGCAGCAGGATTGTGTTCTAAAAGATGGGAACAACTGCTGCTACCGACATTGTGCTCGTGCAACAGAGAACCTGTACTTCTGTAAGCAAAATAATGACCACTGATTCATCACTTGAATATTACTTAATAAGCCTCAACATCTGGCCAGGCATTCACAATAATGTCAGAAAGGCATTAGCCTGGTCGTGGAGCCACTGATAATGCTGGGGCCAGCGCAGGAGCTGTTAGGGGGCAGGAGCTGTTTGGGGCAGGAGCTGTTAGGGGCAGGCTGTGCCCCAGGGAGCTGGTGCTGAGCCGGGGTGTGTGTGTGTGTGTGTGTGTTGTACCTCTGTCTCCCGGGGTTCTACATGGAAATGTCCTGCCCAGCTTGGGAAATGTTTGCTCTTTGCTTTTCTGTGTGTGTGTGTGGGGGGGGGTTTACTGTCCCCTCCCCTGGGGGATGCCCTCGAAGGGATGCCCTGTCCCAGCCACGGCCGTGTGCCACTGGGAGCATCCTCTGACGGGCAGGGAGGGACTGGGAGGGTGCAGGGATGCAGAGAGCCCCGGCTGGGATGGGGAGGGTGCAGGGATGGGGAGGGTGCAGGGATGGGGGGGTGCAGGGATGGGGAGGGTGCAGGGATGCAGAGAGACCCGGCTGGGATGGGGAGGGTTCTGGGATGGGGGGGTGCAGGGATGGGGGGTGCAGGGATGCAGAGAGCCCTGGCTGTAAGGTTTTGCAGCTGAGGAGCAGGTCGCGGTGCCGCGGGACGCAGGGCTCGGAGCAGCGCTGCTGAACCAGCCGCTCGCCGCCTCCCGCAGCTCCCCCCCCCACCATCCTGCGCTAATAAATATTTCAGTCTTTCTGGCTGTTATTTTTAGGTACGTGAGAGAAGGCCGGTTTCGGATCGAGGAGAGGACGCTGACGGCTTTCCAGTGGCTGTACTCGCCCCACCAGCACCGCATCCTCAGCCGGGCGGATCTGGGCTCGCCCAGCAGGTAACGGGGGGGCGGTGGGTGCGGGGCCAGGGGCCGTGGGGAGCAGTGGCACGTCCCCTGCCAGGGCCACCAGCAGCCTGTCGTGCTGGCGGGACCTGTCTGATCGTCTTGTCACAAACCCTCGTGGTTTTGATGTGGGTGTCCTGAGCCTCAGCCTGTCTCTGGAGCCCTGTGAATGTCTGAGCATCTTGGGGTTCATGTTAGGGTCCCAGACGCAGCGGTCAGAGCCGGGAGCTGCAGACACTGTGTAAGCACCCCTCTGGTTTAAAGCAGTGCCGAAGGACATATTACTGACTGCCTCCCCAAACTTTTATTTTTAAAACCCCCATGGTTTTGGTCAAGCACACAGCTTTTTGAGGACCTGCTTCATCCATGCAGCACACTTGGGATTCACTTAAAAAATGGATTGGGAGGCAGGGACAGCATATCTCCCGTCCGTAAGTGATCTCTGGAAAATATTTCTTGCGATACCCTGATGGGGTTCGGTGCTGAAACCTTCTCCTTCCCAGCTCCTTGAGGACACGCCTGGGAGCTGTGTCCATGTGCCGTGGCTCTCCCTGCTGCTGCAAACGCGTCGCTGTCGGTTCGCATCCCAGCGTTGGGTGATAAAACGCCATTAACATAAAAGCCTCGCGGGCCTCAAGACACATACCGCGCGGTGTCTGTTTTCCTGCCTGTTAAGAGCTCTGAAACACCCCCAGCCCCCGGGTGGCTGCGCGGCTAAAAGCTTTTCCCTCTTTATTTCAGCAGCAGTTTTGCTCCAAGAGCCCTTAAAGCCCTGGAGTACTTATCTCCCCGGAATGGCACGTACCAGAGGGACAGCGGGAGGGACGCTGGGGAGGGAGGGATGAGCACCTCCCCAGGATGGGGAAGGGATGCGGGTGCTCCCATATGTTCCCCCCAAGGAGAGGGAACCTATGGGGGGGATGGAGTCCCCGGGCTGGGTGGGGAGCAGGAGGGGGTGCCCCACTTCCCCTGGTGGGAGCCATGGCGTGTGCCGCAGATGGGCAATTCCTCTGTCTGCAGCCAGAGAGGCTTTCCAAAAACTGAACTACCACACTGCTTATTGATTTTAACTAATTTTTGCAAATTGCTATCAAAGGCTGCGTTAATCTCACCCCTGATGCACATATATCATGTGGCTTGTAGAACTTAAACGTGTGTAATATCCTTTATAATTAATGCTAAGTACCACTGGGGTTAATTCCACTGGATTAATTTGATTTCCCCACAGGCTGGGAAGGTACCTGGAGGGTGTGGGGGGCATCGGTGGCCGGTTACAGACGGTGCCTGCATCCCTTTTGGGGGCAAAATCTTCACCCGGATGCAGCTGGGGCTGCTGCCCAGGCGGAGACTCCAGCAGGGTCCTGGGTTTGCCCAGCTCTGACCCCACGAGCAGCAGGAGAACCACCCGTGGGGCAGTGCCCACGGCCGGGAGCGGGGCACGAAGCTGCCATGGGCCCTGCCGTTGGCTCCAGAGACTGCTCCGTGGGACGGGAGCGAGGGGGAAGCCGCGTGGGGGATGTCTCATCCACATTAGCCCCTCCTTTGGCAGCAGCGAGGTGCCCTGCGCTGGCCTGGAGTGTCCCCCCTGGCGGGTGGGGGACGGGGCGCAGTGAGGGGGTGGCTGTGCCCCCCTCCCAACACATCCTGTGGAGGCTTCGGCCGGGAAAGGTTGTAGTGCCCGGGGTGGCACACTGACACTGGGATGCTCTGTGGCATTTCAGGCTGTCACATTATTTATCTGTCACGTTAATGGGATCAGTGTCTGTATTTTGCACTTGCTGCTGCTGCTTTGCATAATGGGAGTGACACAGCCCAGCGAGAGGAGGGAGGATCTGCTGGGGGGGATAACGTAACAGGTGTATTTCATTTTTGTTATTTGTACACATTAACGCACTCCTCAGTCCCACTCGAGCAGTGCTCTAGAGAAGGATGAGAACATGGGTGCTGTTTCCTGCAGCTCTTCATGCATCCAGGTGGGTTTTGTCCAGGTCCCACAGACACTGGTGGTGCCCGCAGGCAGATGACACACTGGTGGCTGGTGGAGCTGCTCTGTCTGGGATGGGCTCTCCTCTGGCCTGGGAAAGCTTTCGGCAGCTGGCCCCAGCTGGGCACTGCCGGGCACCAGGGGGGTGTCTGTGGCTGTTTGCAGCAGGGAGCAAACCCGGGCGTAAGAGACCACCGTGGAGTTAACAGGCTGGGGGGCTGTGGGCCCCCACCTGCGAGTGCTGCCTGGCCAACCCCCTGTGCCACCACCAGGGACCGGGGAGCAGCGTGGGGTTTGGGGGGCTGCGCAGCTCAGCCCTGAGCGCCTTTGGTACCTGGAATAACCTACTTTGATGTTTAGTGCTGTTAAATAGATGTCAGGGCTGCCAAAAAAGGGAATTGCACCGGTTTCACTGAATGGAAATTTTGGCTTTCCTTTCAGTGGGCCTGGATTTTGGCCCTTGAAGCTCTTCTTTTATCTGATCCATTCTGTGCCTGTCTTAAATCCAGCGGTAAGAGATGAAGGGGCTCACATGTAAGACCGAAGTCTGCTTTCAAAGCTGAACCCAAAGGGGGTTACTCCATTTTCTAGTTATTTTTTCACAAAAGAATCCTGGCTGCATCCCCAGCAGCGTGGCCAGCAGAGAGAGGGGGGGATTCTGCTCCGCTCTGGGGAGACCCCCCCAGTGCTGCCTCCAGCTCTGGGGCCACCAACAGCAGAAGGACATGGAGCTGTTGGAGCGGGGCCAGAGGAGGCCACGGAGATGCTGGGAGGGCTGGAGCCCCTCTGCTGGGAGGGGGGGCTGAGAGAGTTGGGGGGTTCAGCCTGGAGAAGAGAAGGCCCCGGGGAGACCTTGGAGCCTCTTCCAGTCCCTCAAGGGGCTCCAGGAGAGATGGGGGGGGACTCTGGATCAGGAAGGGGAGCCCTAGGAGGAGGGGGAAGGGTTTGACACTGGAAGAGGGGGGACTGCGATGAGATGTGGGGAAGAAATTCTTTCTTGTGAGGGTGGTGAGAGCCTGGCCCAGGTTGGCCAGAGAAGCTGTGGCTGCCCCATCCCTGGAGGGGTTCAAGGCCAGGTTGGAGGGGGCTTGGAGCAACCTGGTCTGGTGGGAGGTGTCCCTGCCCAGGGCAGGGGTGGGACTGGGTGGTATTTAAGGTCCCTTCCAACCCAAACCATTCCATGTAAACAACACTTTCAATCTAAACGCCCCAGACAGGTCTAATGGGCAGGATCCTCACCTTTCACTGGTGGGTTTGGCTCCAGCGATGGTGCCTAAACCTTGCCCAGGAGCCCGTTGCGTCTTGACCCCCATATTTCCTTCCTCCCAGGGGCACAGTCCCAGGTTCCAGTTTGCGGAAACATTTCACCTGAGCGGTGCTGGCTCCTCTCCTGCGGCGTGGGTGAAGCGTGGGGGGGTGAGTGGGGCGGGC